AATGTATTGCTTCATAATAATTGGAAATAAAAGTATATGACTAATATGAGTTATTTCACTATGTGAAATGAAGTTTTGATAGCCTGATTTATGTTGAATTGAGCAAACAATGGATCAAATGTGTTTTGTTAAAAAGTTTGTGATTTATTGAAAAGCTTGTGATTTGTTGAAAAGCTTGTGATTTGCGTAGTATCCACTGTGTTAGAGTTGTTGATAGCTTGACTTGACTTACATATGGTTGATTTGGACACTGCGCAATTGTTGTGAGATAGTTCAACATTGCTTAAATATTGCTAATAACTTGACATTGCTTAAATGTTGTTGATAGCCTAATATTGTTTAAATGTTGTTGTTGACTGATAATACATGTGGACTACTTATTATGTTGCCACATTGACAATGATTATGAGCTTTCAAAGTAAGTTGAAAACACTTTGATTTTATCGTTCTCCTCAGATTGTGAACATATTTTGGTGAAATTATATTTGATCCATATTTTTAATATTTCTATTTGTTATGATGCACATTACACTCAAGAAAATATTTATTTTCAGCAAATTGAAGTTTAGAGTTGGGTCCACTACAGCACTAGGAGAGTCGAGATGGAAAGTTAAAAAAACTAATTGTGTAAATTTTGTACAAAGATATTCATTTCCTAGTTTCCTAATGTTTGTTTTGATTAAACTTGAACAGTTGTACACTCTACCATAGAGTTATATAGTTTATCTCTTTCATGAGATTATTAGTTGGTATTATTGGTTTAAATGCATTCCTGAATTACAAGCACATATATTGCCACGTTTCAAGTTACATTTTCATCTTTGGGATACCAAATATGTCTCTCAAGATGGGGCGTGACAGTTTTTAGCATCAGAGCTAGTGTTTATAAATTATGTAGACATGTTGTGGTCTAGTGTCTATAATGAATAGTAAGAAGTATGTTGTCGAGTTTTGTGGGAGTAGTGTATTAGCCGTTAGTCATGTTTCAAAATGTCTAGTGATTGTAAGGTGTGTTCATGCATCATTATATTATTTTATATATTGACACATTCTTACTGATATAGTATAATAAAAACTACCCTATGTTGTCAAAGGGATATAACTTGATCCATCTAGTTTTGCTGTGACATAGGGTCAAGTAGACAATAGAATATATATAGTGGATTTTATGTTGCACATGAGCAGTTAAAGGTGATGAAAAAGAATAATTGAAAGTACCACTAGACTGATTGAACAAGATATTTTGAGTGGCACATAATAGTGAAAATTTTTAGTCTTGATAGTAGATGATTTGAAGTAGAACGAAGTTTGACATCGTGCAAGTAATTGGTATAGGGGCAATGTATCATTTAATACATAATTTTCCTCAGTCAGATTAAGGTTTTGCATGTTTGAAATATTATAACATAAGAATATAGCTCCTTTGTGTTGATATATATCTTAATTTATTTACATGTTTAGTGGATACTGCAAAGACTGGTGTTGGTATTTTTTTCGATAACCTTAATTTTGGTACTATTAGATGCAGTATATTTGCTATGACTTGATAAGATACTCAAGCTACTGTTGAAGTTGTCATGAGTACACTCTCCAATTCTAGACGAGATTGCATGGGTTTTGATATATCCAAAATTCACATAGTCGTTGTATAGCATACATTTGGACTGATCGTTGACATTGTTGTATACTAATTTATTTGTTGCTACTCTAGTAGGAGAGATATTTCTAGCAAAGACTATTTATAGAGGTTGTGTATTGAATGTGGGAATTGGAGATTTATCTGTTGATTTTATGTCTCTGGATATTTTAGACGTTGATATGATTCTGGAGATGAACAGATTGTTGAAACATCATGCTATTATAGATTGTTTAGAAATGAGATGATATTTCAGCTACCAAATGAAAGAGTATACAAATTTTTGGTGATCGAAAATGGAATTTCAAATGCTTAGTGTACTCTGGCAAAAGTAAGCTAGGGTACCTAGCTTTTGTAATGGACAATAAAGAAGAAAAGATACAACTGTAATATATTTCTATAGTTTTGGTATTTTTAGATGTATTCCAATAAGAGTTACCTAAACTACCATCAAAGAGAGGTAGATTTTATGTTTTAGTAGTTCTGGAGTACTTCACCTACATGTATTATTCTGTATCGTATAGTTTTTGCTGAAATAGGGGAATTTAGAATTTAATTGAAAATATGAGACCGATGGTTTGTTCAATGTAGTAAATTGTCATGGGGTGCTCTTGTTGTGTTCGTAAAGAAAATGATGAGATTGAGAAATGGTACATTAGTTACTAACAGTTGAATAAGGTAGCAACAAGCAGTAAATATATTTTACGTTGTATTAATGATTTATTTGATCAATTGTGAGGACTCAAAGTATGTAGTAGTGTTGGTCAATCCTTAGTTAAAACAAAGAAGTGATGATGTTCTAAAAATAATTTGTCAAACTGGGATGGTCACTTAGTATTTTTGGTGATGTTGTTGAGGGTGAGAAATGTTATAGTTATTTTTATGTATTGACTAAATCACGTATTTTAACCTTATCAAGATTTATTTGTTACTATATTCATTGATTTTATTCTTGTGTATTCTCGTAGTATGGAAGATTTTAAAAATCATTTGAGGATTGTGCAATAGACTCTATGAGAAAAAGAAATTTACCTGCTAAGGTGAGTAGATGTGAATATTGACTAGATCAAGTTATATTGTTGGGACATATAGTTTCTGGTGATGATATTTTTTTTAGTCATAAGAAAGTTGAGACAATTGTATAATGGGAAAGACCAAATACAGTGATAGAGATTTATAGATTTATTGGAATTAGTTGACTACTATTGTAGGTTTGTATAAGAATTTTTAGTATTAATAGTACCTTTGACATATTTGACACAAGAAATTTACAAAGTTTGAATGGGATGATGTTTCTAAAAATAGTTTTCAAATGTGAAAGAAATAATTAAATTTTAGCCCTAGTGTTGACTATACACTTGAGTAGTGGTGAATATGCGTTATACAATGATGTTTCTCATTAGATGTTGGGCTACATAGTAGGATGATTGTTAATTCCTTCAACTATTAAAAATCTCTAAAACGAATTATATTACTCATGATTTTAAGTTAGCTAATGTTGTGTTTGTTTTAAAGTAATAAAAACATTATTTAGATTAGACGATGAGACATATGGGATTTTTACTAATTATCAAAAATTTAAATATTTATTTACTCAAAAGGAATTCATTTTGATGCAAAGGAGATGGATGGAAATAATTAAGGACCATGATTTCTCTATCATTATCATGCTAATAGTTGCAATGGAAAAATCTCTCCATTTGGAACCTTCCCAGCTAAGCCATATTCATCAAGTTGATTCATGGATACACAAATGATTATAACGAGAAACCAAGAACCAATAATGCATCATCAAAGCATCTTCGCCCTTACTCTAGATTGCTTCAACTGTTTTTCTACATGGGTAACACGATGCAACAAATCCAATATTATTTGGTGTGATCGGCTACACATTGGGGGGTCGATCCATAGAAAGTAACCACACTTAGTTGTAACTTTAAGAAAAATTTTACAAAACCAATTAAACCAAAATTTTCAACCCACTAAAAATGGCAAAATAACCGGTTCAATGCTAGAAAACAGAATTTTCAAAAAATAAAAAAACCCTAATTGTAAAAAAACCCGTTAATTTATCAAATACAAGTTATAATAATCAATTGCTTGAAAACCAATATCTTACTAAACAATATGGGTACAAATGAGCTAAAGAAGAAGAATGGAACAACTTAATTCGTTATTTGCACATGTGATAAATCTCCTTCCGGGGTTCAAATCTGTCCAGGATGTCTTCGTTTTGGGCCTTCTACCATAGTTCTGCATGGATTGCATTTCTCTCACTCCTCCTAGATTTTGGATCACTTCTTCTTGCCCAAATCATATTCAAACTAGGGTTTTTATGCACAAAACATGGGAGACAAAGACATGTGTTTTACAATAAAGCCCTTGGTCTTATCACGTGTTTCACACGTGATCACAAAACCAAACAGACGAACAAGGTAGTGGATCACATTATAATATTTTTATTTCTTAGGGGCAATGTGAGAAATTTAATCATTCAGAAGGCAAATTGAGAATTTTTTTATCTTTTAGGACAAATTACCCTCCGCATCTTTACAACATCGGGCAAATCATAACTTGTACACTGAAAGATTACTCGATTCTTAATTTACTCTCAAAGTTTAAAAATATAAACTTATACTCTCAAAAATATGAATTCGTATCAATGTACACCTAGGTTAATTGTTGTCCATTTTGCCATAAAATTTGGGCTAATTATAAATTGCACCCCTCAAAATTTAAATATTTCATATTTATGATCCAAAAAAAATTTCATCTATTTATGTTCGTTAAATAGATATCAATTGCATCGTGTCATAATATTTACGACAATTCATATAATACTATTTAATATTTTTAAAAAAATTATAAAATTCCTATTTTTTGTCTACAATACTTATTAAATAACTATTTTCTGTCTATAGGTATTCATATCTAACTTTAATTTAATCAGACAATTAAAAGATTTATATCTAACTATACACATAAAATAACTATTTTAACAAGTATTATAGGTAAAAAATAGGTATTTTATAATTTTTTTAAATTTTAAAAATATTTTTTTATTGACTCGAACATGATATGAATATGTTATGATACAAATATTAATAGATGAAATTCTTTTTGGATTATAAATGTAAAATATTTAAACTTTGAGGGTATAATTTATAATTAGTTTAAACTTTGTTACCTGCAAAATAAACGACAATTAATCAAATGAACTTTCATACAAATTTATATCTTTCGGATTATAAATTGATATTTTTAAATTTTGAGGATATAAATTGCTATCTTTTTAGGGTAGAAGCTGTGATTTGCCCTACAAAATCAGCGAGTTTAAAAATGACCCTCATGTCCCATTCTGATCCAAGACTCAAAAGCCACAAAACCCTTCTTAACATCTCACTTCTTCAATCTGTAGTTAATACAAAACCTCACCGTACTCATTCTCGCCCACACCCACCCCCATCCCCACCCCTGGCGCAGGCTCTCTCGTCTCTCTGTGAGTCTCTGGTATGTTCGTCTGTCTGAAATAATGTATGCACGTATTCATATTTGCTTTAACAGTCTATAATTCATTGAAAGTAGTTAAAGACAAGTGGAAATGAAAGCTTTGAGAGCCCTAAGAACACTCACTTCCACTCTTTCTTCAAAACCCGAAAAGGCCCATCTCAATCCAATCCTCCTCTATAGATTCTACACTGCCCAGCCTCAAGAACAAGACACCTACCACCATACCCTCACCTCTGAAGATGAAAGTAGTGCTGACTCAGTCTTTGACAGTGCTCATTACACGTTACCTGAGAAATTGAGTTTCGATTCTGAGGCTGAAAGTACTATACAACCCACGTGGGATGTGAATTTTAGGGAAAAAGCTAACAGAAGAATTTTTGGAGAAAGGACCCAGCTGGGGGTAAGTTCAATAATTGAAAGGAAGAAACAGGAAAAGCGTTTGAGAGTTGTGGAGAGAGAAGAGGAGAAGAGAAGAAGGGCATCGGTGCTTGCGAAGGCTTTGCTCAAGGCAGCATTGGAGCAGCCAGATGAGGATGAGGGAGTAGGGGAGAGCCTGGTGGTGACGGAGGAGGACCAGAAGTCGTTGTCAGTTGGGATTATTGGTGCTCCTAATGCTGGAAAGTCTGCTCTGACCAATTACATGGTTAGTTAATGGATAGATTTATTTGAATATAACAAGTGTTCGAGTGAAATTGTATGTGGATGTTTTCCAGAAATCTGTGACTTATTTTTGGGATTTGGACGTCTTATTTCTGGGAGTTTAACGTTTGATTACAGATAAAGCTTTGTTTCTAAGAAACTTGTTGAATAACGTGGATGATTAGTGGTCCGGTCAACTGGATAAGTTTGTTGTTCTCCAATTTTATGGTTACATGCTGTTGGCAATTATAACTGTGTTTGCGGCGATTTCAATTGTTTAATATGTTGTCAAATCTTATTTTGGGCCTGTGACTCGCAAATATTAACTTTATGGAATTTTTATTAATTCATTCCATGTAAGAACACATGTTCTAGTTTTTTTAAAATAAAATGAAAAGGCACACATAAAATTTTGCAGGGAAATATAATGTTTCAGGAAAGCAATAAGTAAAATGCATTTGAGTGATAGAATGTGTTTATAATGCTGCCACGAGCCCCTTTTTATTACTCATGACAAGTTGATGATGTGTGATTTAGAACAAATGGTTGTTATGGGACTAATTATGCATAGACTATTGTACATCTAGGTAGTTTTGCGTTTCTCCTATCACCTATTGATTAGATCCACGAAGGCCAATTTTAGACATTTTCACTTAGGGTTCGTTTGGTTGTTGCATTACAAATGAATGGATTCAATAAAATAATCCAGTCTAATATAATATAGTTTGACAAAATATAAGATTAAATAAAATATTAGAATAATACGTAATTTTATTTAGTATTTGACAATACACAACATAAGTGTTGGATAATAGGTATTTAATTCGGTTGGTTGTTTGATTAGAGAATTATTTTATCATATTAATGTTGAATTAACAAAAATACCCTCAATCAGTGTGTCGAAGTATTTGTTATATTGATGATAACTTGATTTTATCAATTGTGTGGTTATAAATTTGAGTTGGATTATAATACCACTTCTCTTGGTTATATTAAAATACTTCCATAATACAAGTCTATGATACTAAAAATATATGATTAGTATATGTTTTTCAAATTAATGCGGAATTATAGTTATCTATCAAACAAAGTATTAGACCCCATTAAATAAATAATAGTACAATACAATATTTAATCCATTTATAATACGACTACCAAACAAGCCCTTAGTGTATTGGGCCGCATACTCTTTTTGCAGATCCCTAAATTTTGTTCAGTTGTGTCTTGTTTTCTTGTATTTTTGGTTCCTTCTTTAGGTTTCTTTTTCATTTTGATGGAATCAGCAAGCCTTTATTAGTGCTTTGTTGTTTCATGTTTATGTGTTTTATATGTGCTCTAACAGAAAATATGGCTCTTATTAGAGCACCATGGTTAAACATGATTTATGTAGCCAATGCTTAATATTTGAGACTATAATTTCTTGAGTTTAGCTTAGTTTCTGTTCTTCTTATAGGTTTACATGACTGTATCATGCAAGCCTATAACCATTATGAAGCATATTCCTGTGGTTGCTCTCTTTTTAAATAATTTTGAGTTACCATATAATTTTGTTTGAAGGCAAGATAGTAGAGATGCGAGCTGATATCCTGGCTTAGCTTGTGATTTAGAGTCACTTATGGTTCCACATCATATCAGTAAGCAATGAGCTGCCCTAGCTGTTAAATAGAAGGTCTCCTAGAATGGCTTGGATTGAGCTCAAGTAGTATCTGTGAAAGATGATTATAAAGCAGTTTGTCTGAGGATAGCCCATGGGTGATTTGTTGGGTGTGCATAGTTAGAAATTGCTGAGTATAATGTGGAGACATGACCACTTAGTCTTGGGCATCCCTAGGTTTTGTGGAATTATTTTTTGATTTTTACTGAGTTGATGTCAAGTTGTACTGCAGTAATTTGTGTTGTGAACATTCTTATGTGGGTATCTTGGTCCTTGTTCAATTACGAGCTGTATTGGCATAGGCTTAGCTTTTGAAAAGGTATTTTTTAGGTATTATTTTAGGAGAATCTGAGAAAAGAGAAATTGTTGTGTAATCCGTTGATTAGAAATATGCGTTCAGTGGCTATAAGATTATCTCGTTAGACATCCGTATCCTGAGTTCTAATCACGATTCCAAGCCCTTTAAATCCTTTAATGATACATCCTTCTGTTGATCTTTTTAGGGAATTTATTTGGGAGCATTGCTGTCAATATTTCTTGCATGTTTTTTCTGTTTACAATGTGTGGGTTGCATTCCATTTGCTGCTTTCTAATGATTTATTTATTGCGGTTAGCTTCACAATGGATAAGAGATTGCCTCATTCCTGATTGTTTGTCTGGTCATTTATCTTTTGCATGCCATTATGCCATTACTGGTCTGAAGGTTGGAGTAGATCAAGACACTTCAGAGAGTGTAGCAGGAAAATGGCTGTGCAGATGTAGAAGCAGAGGATTCAGTCACTCTATTTGTCTAATTTAAGAAAGCTTTGGTGCCAGATGGTTTTTGAGGTTGGGAATTATATTGAGAACTTATGGAGTAAGGTGTTAATAATTGCTGGACTATTCTTTTAGTCTCGAATCCTTGTCTAAATCCAGTCTACGGAAGTTGAGCATTTTGAGATTGGCCTCCTTCTCTAATAAAGAAATTGGCTTACTACACTGGAGGTTTGCTGATTAGTGATTTGGTGCGAATTTGTTTATTGTTATGTTGTGGAGTTCTGGCTTTAGGGGATCTCCTCCCTTTTATATATATTTTTCGTCTCTCCATTCATTCTCTATCATTTTATATAAATTGCATTTTATTGTTTTTTTTTGGAGATGTAGGCAAATCATGTAAGTCTAGAAACTTTGGAATTTGTAGAAATTTATAGGTGGAGGAAATCTTGGTAGAGTAATTGGCTTTTTGATATGTAACAAGTTGATGATTGGTGACAGGTTACAGTTTGATGATGGGTTTTTGGTTGGAGGTCTGGACTACCAAATACTTATTTTGTTTCCTTGCCTATATGAGAAAGTATGTGGGCTACTATTTGTCAGCCTTTATAGTAGCATGGAGTGAACCTTCGTACATTTTGGTTGGAAGTTACATGCAAGTAGGGTTAGATCTTTGCATTAGAGTTTTTTTTTTCCAGATCAAGCAAATAAGGCAAAAGGAGCTCATCGTTAGTTTTAATCAGATTCTTTTATAGGTTTTCTGGAGGCATCTATTGCTTCTTTGAGCAATATTTTTAAGATCCTTCAAAGAACTGAAAGCAGATTTCTTTGCTTGGATAGTGATACATGAGATTCTCATGGTTGATGACTTAATCTGTATGAACCGGGTGTTGATAATTGTTATCTCATGTGCAATAGAGGGATTCTTTTGACTACCTAATATTTACAACCATCCTTTCTCAAGATCAGTCTGGTTTAAATTCAGTGTAGTGCTGTGACACTCCAAATTAAGTTTCTAGCACCTCACCTTGTTTATCCATGCAGCAAGTAACAAAGATGGCCTTAAAAAGATTGAATAACAAATTAAGTCATTTTCATGTGTTGTACTTATAGTTGTAAACATGGAGGCAGAACCAAATCTGGAAGGCAGTGCTATCAGCAAATGCGGTGGTGATAAATGAAATGAGTGATGGAGGTAGTAGAAGGTCAAGACATTTGTAATATAAATCAGACATGAATGGTTGCCTCATAATAATGTGGACTCAAAATACATCACGACGAATGACAGTTCTGGTAAATTCAATGGCAGAGCTGCATTCTCTTAAATCACCACACCTAGGAGAATATCTTTGAACTTGTGTGGAAGAGGTGGATGTAGATGACAAAAAAGCGACATACTAAAGTTTTTTTTGTTTGTTTGTTTGAGAAGCATGTTAAAAAGCAGGATTTTTTGTTTTGTTTGAGAAGCATGTTAGGAGAATATCTTGTTTTCCTTGCTTGTAGAACTCAGTGAGATTCCTGAGGCTTCTTTAGGAGTGGAGTTGCGCCACTCTAATTTTACCCATTGCTTTGGTATGTTTTGGGTTATTCTCGCGTTTTCGGTGATCTTGTTGGAGGGGAAAAAACAGGAGGATATTTGTGTGGTGGACCTTACTCTAGATGCAGTGGAGGATTTCATAGGGCGTTTGTGCTTGCTCTATAAAGTTGGAATTGAGCTGGTTGACGTCAACCCAATTTATGCATTGTTTCATTCATATTACATCTTCCTTCTTATTTAGAGTTTTTTGGGGTTTGTGGGGAATCATGGACTTGATTTTTATTGTAGACAAAAAATTAATCAGCTGGCTGAATTTTTTTTGTCTGATATTTGTTTAGAGAGAGTGAGAAAAAGTAGTTGTCCTATATTTTGTGTATTTTGTCAGGGGTTTGACTGCATGGGTAATACAGAGTGGAATGCTAGTGATGGGCTATCTCTTTTTGGATATGGCATACATGCTGTAGGATTCCTTCTGAGGGCTGTTTGATATGAGGGAAAATAGGATGGATGGAAAAGATGAGAAGGAAAATGGAATGTAAAGAATGATTTTCCATTATTTGGTTTGAAACGAAAATAGGAGGGAGAGGAAAATGGGGTGGAAAACCTTTCAGCTCCACCGCCAAAATTTTCTGGTCCAGTTTTGGGCAGCCAATGGAGAGAGAGAAAGAGTTGCCAAGAACAAAAATACAGTTTTACTATTTTACCCTTCAGACAGCAAAGCCAAATGAGCAAGAGTGGGTGGAAGCGGCAATCGGGTGTGATAGATTGTTGTGAAGCTTGTTTAATCAAAGCAATCAACCACATTTTCAACCTTTAGGAGAAGAACACGTGTTTGGTTAATGGGATTTGGACAACATTGGAATAGATGAAAATCCTATTGCGCTCAAAGGTGGGCCTCTTGTCTGCCACTAAGTATGATGAACAGTACATATCTTCATTGTTTGATTAATTCTATGTGATGTCTATTTTGTGGGTAAAATGGTAACTTGAAAATATATCTTATTCTTTTCCTTCTTTTTTCCTTTGATACCAAACAAGGAAAAATTTATCCATCCAATTTTCTATCTATTCTAAATCAGAGAGAAAGAATTTTACTTTCCATTGAGTATGGAAAACCAAGCCCTTCCACTTTTCCTTCCTTCTTACCTTATCAACAGGACAAAAAGAAGGGTAAGTTTGGTGTCTAGCCAAAGAAAGTAAAGTCCATGAAGATTAAGGACTTGCCCATAAGTTTGGTGTCTAGCCAAAGAAAGTAAAGTCCATGAAGATTAAGGACTTGCCCATAAGTTTGGTGTCTTGCCTTTACAAAGTCATTCCTAAAGTCTTATCCTTAAGATTAAGAGAGTCTTTCAATGATACTATTTCTGAGTGTTAAGGGGCTTTTATTTAGGATAGACAAATCCTTGATGTGGCTCTTGTGGCAAATGAGCTTGTAGAGGAATATAGAGAGAGATAAGGAGGGTTTTGTTTTTTTGAGGAGGTATATAATCACGTGGATTGGAGTTTTTTCGATTATATTATGGAAGTGAAAGGATATGGTGGGAGGTGGATAAAATGGATCCTTGGTTGCTTGCACTCCATGAATTTTTTGGTTATGATGAATGAGAAGCCTAGGGTTAGATTTAAGGCTTCTAGAGAATTGAGACTGAATGATCCTTTATCTCTTTACTTTAGTTGCAGATGGGCTGAGTAGATTAGTGAGGAAGGCTAAGTGTTGTAATGTTGCGGAAGGCTTCATTGTGGGAAGGTATAGAATTTCAGTCTCTCATTTACAGTTTGCTGATGATTCCATATTTTTTCCGTGGCAGAAGAGGACAAACTTTTAAACTTTAAGAATATTGTTGAGGTATTTGGATTGGTCTCGGGGTTGTAGGTGAATATGGATAAAAGTGTCCTAGTGGGCTTTAATTCAAATCATGATAAGAGGAATAGAATGACAGGACTTTTGGGATACAAGGTGGGAGAGTGACCTTTAAAGTATTTAGGGTTACTGTTGGGTGGGAATCTATTGTCATTTTTATTTTGGGATCTGGTAGTTGAAAAGTGGGGAAAAGACTTGATGGGGGAAAAAGGCTTACATATCCAAAGGGGGAAGGTTAACTCTTGTTCAGTCAGTTCTATCTAGTATTCTCACATACTTTTTTTTTTATCTTTATTTAAAATCCCGAGGAAAATAGTTATGACATTTAAAAAATTGATGAGAGATTTTTTGTGGGAGATTAGTAGGGAGGGGAGGAAAGATCACTTGATTAGTTTGGGGGTAGTTTCTAGATCTAGGGATGGTGGTGGTTTGTCAATTGGTAATGCGAGGTCAAGAAATATTGCTTTAGTGGATCAGTAGTTTTGGAGATTTTCGTTGGAATTAAATTCTCTATGTCATTTAGTTATCAAGAGCAAATATGGGTTACGGGCCAATGGATGAGATGCTAATAGGGTAGAGAGGGGTAGGTTTTTGTTGCCTATGGAAATTCATTTCTCGGGGATGACGAGGTTTTCCCAAATGTAAGGGAAACAATGGGTAATGGGGAGAGAGTTTGCTTTTGTGAGGATGTTTGGTTAGGAGAGTCTTCACTTTCATGTTTGTATCTTTGTCTCTATTAATTGTCTTCTTCTCATGGGTCTTCCATTGCACCTATGATTAGGTCATACCATTATCCGTACTCTTGGGACTTTGGTTTTTGTTGGAATCTTGATGGCAGAGACACTGTTGATTTGATGTTTGTTCTTGATATTCTTAATAATGTCATTGTTAATCAAGAGTCTAGTGATATAAGAAGATGGTTAGGTGAGTCTTTGGGAGTTTTCTCATGTAGATCTTTTTTGATTCTCTGTTGGATGAAAATTCTTATCCTTTCTTTACCCCTGCATTGCTGATTTGGACTACTAAAGTGCCCATTAAAGTATAAGTCTTTGCATGGATGGCAGCGCATGGTAAGATTAACTCTAACGATATGCTTAGAAAAGGAGGCCTCATACTTGTCCTTCACCCCAGTGGTGTGTAAAGGTGATGTTGAGAGTATTGATAATTTATTTTTACATTGTCCGGTTGCTTTAACATTATGACATCTTTTGTTCCGAGTGGAAGGGTTGAGTTTATATCATATTAATTGTTTGTTGAAGATGTGAAAGGTTTTGGAAGGTTTGATAAAGGTGTTACATTTTGGAATTGTGCTACGTTTTAGATTAGGAATGAAACACAAGAATTTTTGAAGATTGGAGTGAGTGTATGAATGGATTATGGGAACATATTCATTTTTAGTATCTTTTTGGGCTTCGGTGACCAAAGAGTACAAAGATATTTCACTTTTTAGTGGTATGGAGAGCCTCGTTTGATTTATAGGCTTACTGTTACATTTTTTCTTTCATTTTCGTAGTTGGATTCCTTATCCAACTGTTTTTGTATCCCATATTTTATTTTATTTTATTTATTAATAAAAGTGTTTGTTTCTTATCAAAAAAAAAAAAAACAAAAAACAAAAGAATGGTACGTATGGAGCTTTAAGTTTGAGTTACATTAAAAGGCGTTCTCTTCTCTTTATATGGCCAATGTGGACAG